ACCGGGTTTGAAGACGGCACCGACAGGAAGTGTAAGCTGTTGAAGGCGTTGTACGGGCTGAAGCAGAGTCCAAGGGAGTGGTATAAGGCGATGGATGAGAGGTTGCTGAAAGGAGGGTTCAAGAAAAGTGAGTGTGACCGAGCGTTCTATTGGAGGGGAGAAGGAGAGAAGAAGGTGTACTTGCTACTCTATGTGGATGATATCCTCATAGCAGGAGCTTTACCGGCTGAGGTGGAGAGAGTGTGTGACTATCTTGCTGAGGTTTTTCAGGTGAAACAGATTCCTAGGACAACGCTGTTTTTGGGGATGAACCTGGAGCGGAATGTGGAAGATAAGAAGCTCTTCTTGTACCAGAAAAAGTATTGCAACCGGGTGCAGCAGAGGTTTGGCCAGGGTTTCACCAAGGAGATCACGACACCACTCAGCGGCATGGCAGCAAATGATAACGAGCAGGAAGAGGATGTGAAGCAGTGGGGAGGAGAAACGAAAGCGCTGCAGATGTACCAGTCGATGGTGGGATCGGTTATGTATTCGGTTTCATGCACAAAGGTCGACATGGCGTATGCGGCGAGTTACTTGGGGCAGCATGTGCAGCAGGGAAGGAAATGGCGGGAAATGAAGCGGGCACTTAGTTATTTGGTGCAGCATGACGAGGAGGGGCTTCTCTTTGAGGGAGGAGAAGAGACTTTGCAGCTGGTGGGGTATGCGGATGCCTCACATGCATCGGACAAGAAAACAGGGAAAGGCGCATATGGGTACGTGTTCCTTCTTGGGGGCACTGCCATCATGTGGCAAGCAAAGAAATTGGCGGACATAGCATTGTCAACTGCTGAATCGGAGTACATGGCACTGTTCTTTGCGTGCCAAGAGGGAGTGTGGCTGAGGAGGCTGATGAAGGAGCTCGACATCACTATTGAAGGACCTACTGTTGTGAAGACGGATAGCAAGTCGGCCATTGACTTGGCCAGAAACGACAATTGGCATGGGAGGACGAAGCACATGAATGTGAAGTATCACTGGGTACGGGAGCAGCTCGAGAAGCAGCAGTTCAAGTTTGAGTTCGTTCCCACTGAGGAGCAAGTGGCAGATTTCTTGACCAAGGTGCTACCTAGGTCTAACTTTGAGTATTGCAAGGAGAAGGTGGGGATGCGCAAGTTGCAGGAGATTCAGGGGAGTGTGAAGCCAAAGTAGACTCCATGAGGGCTGCAACGGAACAGGGAAGTGGAGGTGTGGTTCACGAACCACAGGGGAGGTTGTTGGAGTGGTTCGCGGAACCACACTAATGACGGCGCACATAATGCGGTCGAGACGGCAGAATGAAGGCGACGGAAGCGTGTGGACTATTCTAGAGAGAAGCGGTGGAAATCGGCCTACGACGTGAGAAGGGAGAGAGACATCGAGAAGGAATGTGTGAGAAGGTGGAAGAAGCATCGAGATTGAAGTTGATGAGGGGAAAATGTGATTTAAGACCAAGGCGCGTTCGAGAAGGTTCCAGATTCGGACTTGAGGAGTGTTCACCGAATTCGGTTCGGTTGCATGTGCGACTCGGGGTGAAACGAGGCGCACGCGGTTACTTGGGAAACAAGTGAAGTTACGAATCGCATTTTGTGTCTTGCTTGACTATAAACCTGTTTGTACTCATTCTGGAAATACAACATTGAGACAACATTGATCAGTTGGAGATTCTGAAAATTGCTGAAGTGTGTATTGACAACTTCAAGCAGAGCTGCGCATATCATTGGATTCGTGAGATCGTGGAGAACACAATAGGCGATAGCAAGTAGACTATTGCCGACTAAGGTGTTTACGATCCTGAGAGTCTGACAGTCCTGCAGGAATTGCGCTGCAGATTGGTGGAGGGGGCGAGGGGAAGGGAGAAGAAGAGAGGGTTCGTACGAAGAGAGGCTTGACAGATGTGGGTGATGAGGATGGAGGAGCAAATGCCTTGCGGAAGCCAGGGATTGGTTGTTTTTAGTAATCTGATAATCCGACCCGCCTACGAATGTCATGAAAAATGGCAAATGCTCAATGTTCTGTACTTAAAAAAAAAACACACAAAAAAAACAAAACAAAAACAAAATAAACCACTTGAAGATTCTGGGCGAGATTTCCCTCCAATGGTTATCCACTCTAACATTCAAAGATTATCCAAATCTCAGATCTAAAGAAATATGGCGAAACGACGAATACGAAAGTGAAACTGCGGCAAAATTTGCACCTAGTCTGGGATTTGGTTCAAGAAACATGGTGCCACGGTTAGACCACTACATGCAACCGCCGGCCTGTATATCGCTAGACTTGCCACAGTGACGGCGCGTCGCACCTTGAGATGCCTCAAATGGCACGGCGTGGATGGCGAGGGGAGTGCCAAGGGTGGCAATGAACCAAGCGAGTGTCAGCGCGCGCAGCACGCGCGCAATCCCATGGCGGCTCATCGCCGCCGCTGCAGCCCAGGTGGGGCAGGCGAGGCGGTACCGCCGCATGCAGCCGCTCCACAGGGCTCGCCGCTGCTCAGGCCGCCGCTGCTCACCACTGCTCTCTCCCTCGGCTCGTGCTGCGTAAACTGATCGAACGGGTGTTAGCAAATAGAGTGAAGGAGGAGTCAAATAGGAGCCTTCTGCTGATGTGAGGCTCGCGTGAGCAGGGGCTACTACTACTAGTAGCACAACCAACAGATGACCAACTGTAACCAACTGAGAGTGGGTTGGGTTGGAATGAATGGTGGAAAGCTGGAATCTTGAACTGCCTCGATACTGTACCGACTCCATCCGCCAGCTCTAACGCCGTCCCAACGAATGCCAGACCTTTCGAGGTAGGTTGGGACTGGGGTGATGGGGACTCGGATGCGCCAGCTCAAGACCTGCTTCTTGATTCGGCAACCGAACGTGCGGCATGGCAGGTGTATGGCCTCTTCCCATACCATGGCTAGTCCTTGCTCACCGTCACCAATCCACGGATATAATCACAGTGGCCGAGGGCAAACAGTGGCGATGTAAAAAGGGTGCGAAGTTTGGTCCGCCTAGCGGAAACGGATACGACGTGTAAGGGATCAACCCTACAAAAACAATTCCTTGTTTAGGGTTAATATCTCCCTAAAATGTGTCCAGGTTCTCAAGGGGTTTCATTGTTTTCTCCCTGCCCTAACATTTCACTGTAGCGATTATTGCAACTGTATCGCTACCAAACGCTTCCGAGTGAAATATATTGCCAACCATCAAACAGAGCCAACAGACACAGTTGGAATATATTCCGAGTGAAATATATTGCGAAATCCCACACCAAGTACTGTACTGGAACTCCACCCACTTCCCCCAACCAAACCTCAAAACCAGGCCCCCTCCCCCCCCTCCCCCCCTCCCCCTTCCCCACCTTTCCCCTCCCCCCTCCGCTCCCCTCCAGCTCGTCAATGCGTCTATTTGATATCAGGGTCAATGGGCCAATGGGGTGATTTTGGGCGGTAAGGGCACCTCACCTCGAAAATCGAACGGAGAACATGTTCGAGCACGCTAAAAGTTAGACGATTCGCAGCTGCTCATACGACCCTTCGCCAAGTCGCCACTCAAAAACATCCAGCACGAAGCAGGTCATTTATGTTCGTCGCTAAAAGGAAGGGCATTTTTTCGGCATAAACAGCACAGTTTCATGTGTAAACATGTTTTTCGGACCATAAGCTACCCGACCGTAACGACGACTTGCATCACGTAACGGGCGGGGCGTTCCATGCCGTGCCAGACTCGCGGCTCGTCAAGTGCGAAGAAAGGCGAGAACGTCCGCGACAACGTGGGATCGAGGAGTAACCTACGAGAGTCATTGGTTCGCTGCGCAGTTTGGGATGGTATACAGATGTTCCGGGTTAGAGGCTCTCGCTAAAAGAGTCCCTTTTCCCCTTTGAGTAGAATTTTCCGATATCGTCTAGGATTGGCCCGGCCCCTTGGTCCCTTTTTTGGCGGGAAATTTTGCAGCTTGACCGAATCATTGCACGAATCAGCTCCGCAGCCAATCAGAGGCCCCAGATCGAACCAGCCCAACATTCAGGGAAAACGATAAATAAGGGATCATCGATTCGATATTTAACTTTAGAATTGTAAGTAATTGTTTCTCTTGACCGTGATTACTTTTCAATCCTGTCGCGCGGTCTCCAGCGCGATTGACGATGACATCTCATTTATCTCGCTTACAGGGTAAATTTGAAGTTTTTACCTTCTATTCGACTCCCAAACCATAATTGATTTTGTTTTATTTTGCCCGTTAGTCATGCGGACATTGATCAGCGCGGGAACCGTGCAACCAGAAGTTGAAGCAAGTGTGGTCCAAATCTACGTAAAAGACGAAATCCAAAAACTAGTAGCAAACAAACCACTCTTCATGCAATTTTCTTGAACGGGACTATAAGTATCGTTTTTTGCCCGGGGTTTGAAGTTTTTTCGCACATAGTCCGCGCGCGGCGTTGTGAGAATCCTAGCGTGGCTTAGGCTTAGGAGCCATAGCTAGGTTGGAGTGTCGAGAGGATTGTGCAAGGGAGAATCGAGAAAGAGATGGTTTCATTATAGGAAGTTGGGATACAAATAGCAAACCCTAAATTGGGTTGTACTCACTACAGAGTACCCCACTGCAGGCTAAACAGCAAATACATACTGACACACCCCCATAGTCAAAGTGGGGTATAATCAGCAGAGCAAGCAGTCATAGAGCAGGTTGACAAGTACAAGCAAAGCTAGAGGCATTCACAAAGGGCAAGTGAGGAGGAGGAGGCTGGACTGTGAGAGGAGAGGAGATAGGAGGCGACGGCTGATGCTGCAGACACACGGGCAACAGGAGCGGCGCGCACCGCTCAACCTCCCCCAACTGTCCCACCCCCCTTTCACGCACCCCTTTCTGCACCCCTAGCTCCACTCCCACGACACCCCCCTAGCACCACTCCCTCGGCTCCCACACACCCACCCCCCTCAGCGGCAGCTGCAGCAGTGGGAGACGGAGGAGGAGGAGGAGCAGGGGACGGTTCACACACCCGCCACCCCCATACCCTCCCCCCACTGCTGCACCTGCAGCAGGGGATGGAGGAGAAAAGGGGGGGGGGGTGGGGGGGGGGGGGGCGGGGGGGGGGGGGGGGGCTGTGTATGGCGCGTGCAGAGGGCAGCAGGGCGCACGGGGCGCACAGGGCAGCAGGGTAGCAGGGCGCACAGGGCTGCAGGGCAGCAGGGCGCACAGGGCTGCAGGGCAGCAGGGCGCGCGGGGCGCGCAGGGCAGCAGCAAGGGCTGTAGCGGCAACAGCAAGGGCTGTAGCGGCAGCAGCAGGGCAGCAGGGCGCACAGGGCTGCAAGGCAGCAGGGCGCACAGGGCTGCAAGGCAGCAGGGCGCGCGGGGCACGCAGGGCTGCAGGGCGCGCGGGGCGCACAGGGCTGCAGGGCGCGCGGGGCGCACAGGGCAGCAGGGCAGCAGGGCAGCAGGGCGCGCGGGGCAAACAGGGCAGCAGGGCGCACAGGGCTGCAGGGTAGCAGGGCGCACAGGGCTGCAGGGCAGCAGGGCGCGCGGGGCGCGCAGGGCTGCAGTGCGCGCAGGGCGCGCAGGGCAGCAGGACAGCAGGGCAGCAGGGCGCGCGGGGCGCAGCAGGGCTGCAGGGCGCGCGGGGCGCAGCAGGGCTGCAGGGCGCGCGGGGCGCGCAGGGCAGCAGCAAGGGCTGTAGCGGCAACAGCAAGGGCTGTAGCGGCAGCAGCAGGGCAGCAGGGCAGCAGGGCGCACAGGGCTGCAGGGCAGCAGGGCGCACAGGGCTGCAGGGCAGCAGGGCGCGCGGGGCGCGCAGGGCTGCAGGGCGCGCGGGGCGCACAGGGCTGCAGGGCGCGCGGGGCGCACAGGGCAGCAGGGCGCACAGGGCTGCAGGGCAGCAGGGCGCGCGGGGCAAACAGGGCAGCAGGGCGCACAGGGCTGCAGGGCAGCAGGGCGCACAGGGCTGCAGGGCAGCAGGACTGCAGGGCGCGCAGGGCGCGCAGGGCAGCAGCAAGGGCTGTAGTGGCAACAGCAAGGGCTGTAGCGGCAGCAGCAGGGCAGCAGGGCGCGCAGGGCGCGCAGGGCTGCAGGGCGCGTGGGGCGCACAGGGCAGCAGGGCACGCGGGGCGCAGCAGGGCTGCAGGGCGCGCGGGGCGCGCAGGGCAGCAGCAAGGGCTGTAGCGGCAGCAGCAGGGCAGCAGGGCAGCACAGGGCTGCAGATCCCCTCCCCCCAACCGCTGCACCCGCAGTAGGGGGATGGAGGAGAAGTGGGGGGGGAGGGGGCTGGTGGGGGGGGGGGGGGGGGGGGGGGCTGATGCTGCAACTCCCCTCCCCCCCACTGCTGCTGCAGATCCCCTCCTGCCTCCCCCTGAACCTCCAAGCTCCCCCCCCCCCTCCCAACACAGGGTGCGGCAGGGAGAGAGAGAGGAGAAAAGGGCGGTTGGGGGGGGGGCTGATGCTGCAAATCCCCTCCCCCCACTGCTGCTGCAGATCCCCTCCCCCCTACTGCTGCACCCGCAGCAGGGGTGGAGGAGAAAAGGGGGGGGGGCGGGGGGGGCTGGTGCTGCAGATCCCCTCCTGCCTCCCTCTGAACCTCCAAGCTCCCCCCCCCTCCCAACACAGGGTGCGGCAGGGAGAGAGAGAGGAGAAAAGGGCGGGGGGGGGGGGGGGGGGGGGGGGGGGGGCTGATGTTGCAAATCCCCTCCCCCCACTGCTGCTGCAGATCCCCTCCCCCCCACTGCTGCACCCGCAGCAGGGGTGGAGGAGAAAGGGGGGGCGGGGGGGGGGGGGGGGTTGGTGCTGCAGGTCCCCTCAGCCCACTGCGGCATCCGCAGCAGGGGGAGATAGGAGAAGGGGGGGGGGGGAGGGTTGGTGCTGCAGATCCCCTCCCCCCCCACCGCTGCACCCGCAGCAGGGGGGAGGTAGGAGAAGGGGCGGTGCAGGAGCCGCTCGGGCGACAGCAGGTTGGCCACACCCGCCACCCCCATACCCTCCCCCCCACTGCTGCACCCGCAGCAAAGAGATGGAGGAGAAAAGGGGGGGGCGGGGAGGGGGGGGGGCTGATGCTGCAGGTCCCCTCCCCCCACTGCCGCATCCGCAGCAGGGGGATGGCAGATCGCTTCCCCCCCACTGCTACACCCGCAGCAGGGGGAGGTAGGAGAAGGATGAGGGGGGGGGGGAGGGGGGGGGGTCGGTGCTGCAGATCCCCTCCCCCCTTCTGCTGCACCCGCAGCAGGGGGAGGTAGGAGAAGGGTGGGGGGCCTGGTGCCGCAGATCCCCTCCCCCCCACTGCTGCACCCGCAGCAGGGGGTAGGTAGGAGAAGGGGCGGTGCAGGAGCCGCTCGGGCGACAGCAGGTTGGCCACATCCGCCACCCCCTCACACCCTCTCCCCGCCATCCCCATGGAGGGGGGGGAGGGGGGGGAGGGGGGCGGGGGCGGAGCTGCGCGTGCGACTGTAGGGCACGCGGGCAGGAGGAACCCCCTCTTGCCACCCCCTCACCCACCATGGCGCAACAGGGCACCGGGGCCGCGGTTAGGGGCGGCAGGTCGCGAGGGGCCATGGCTAGGGGCGACGGGGCCATGGCTAGGAACGGGGCCGGGCGTTGGGCAGGTACGGGGCCGGGCACTGGGCAGGTACGGGGGCCGGGCGCTGGGCAGGTACGGGGCTGGGCGCTGGCAGGTACAGGGCCGGGCGCTGGGCAGGTTCGGGGCCGGGCACTGGGCAGGTACGGGGCCGGGCGCTGGGCAGGTACGGGGCCGGGCGCTGGCAGGTACAGGGCCGGGCGCTGGGCAGGTACGGGGCCGCGCGCTGGGCAGGTACAGGGCTAGGCGCTGGGCGTGGAACGGGGCCGGGCGCGGGCTAGGTACTGGGCCGGGCGCGGGGCTAGGTACGGGGCTGGGGGTTGGGCAGGTACGGGGCTGGGGGTTGGGCAGGTACTGGGCCGGGCGCTGGGCAGGTACGGGGCCGGGCGCTGGGCAGGTACGGGGCCAGGCGCTGGGCAGGTATGGGGCCGGGCGCTGGGCAGGAACGGGGGCCGGGCGCTGGGCAGGTACGGGGCCGGGCGCTGGGCAGGTACGGGGCTGCGCTCTGGGCAGGTACGGGGCCGGGGCGCGGGCTAATTACGGGGCCGGGCGCGGGCGTTATACGGGCCGGGCGCGGGCTAGGTACGGGGCCAGGCGCTGGCGACAGACGGGGCCGGGCGCTGGCTAGGGTCGGGGCCGTGCGCTGGGCTAGGTACGGGCTGGGCGCGGGGCTAGGAACGAGCCGAGCGCGGGCAAGAGACGGGGCCGGGCGCGGGCAGGGTACGGGCCGGTCGCGAGGCTAGGTACGGGCCGGGCGCGGGGCTAGGAACGGGGCTGAGCGCGGGCAGGGTACGGGCCGGTCGCGAGGCTAGGTACGGGCTGGGCGCGGGCGACGGAATCGACGGGGCCAGCGGGGCCGAGGGGCCGAGCTAGGGGCGACGGGCCAAGGGGCCGAGCCTAGGGGCTATGGGCGACGCCAAGGGGGCGAAGGGCCGGGGCCTAGGCTAGCAGGTACGTAGGTGGTGGGCCCATTGATGTTAGGTCCTAGGAAAGTTATGCTCTTAATACCATGTGAGATTCCTAGCGTGACTTAGGCTTAGGAGCCATAGCTAGGTTGGAGTGTCGAGAGGATTGTGCAAAGGAGAATCGAGAAAGAGATGGTTTCACTATAGGAAGGTGGGATACAAATAGCAAACCCTAAATTGGGTTGTACTCACTACAGAGTACCCCACTGCAGGCTAAACAGCAAATACATTCTGACAGGCGTCTCATTCCGTCGGACTATAAACGAGAACACATGTACCTCGACGGCCGAAAAATGCCGCCCAATTTTGCGGTTTCGATAGCACAAGGGCTCCCTTCGAAATGGCAGACCTCTGGGCTCCTGGAGCCCTCGGGATTGTCGACAATCTGACCAACTCGGGTTTCGCTGAGAGAAACCCGAGAATGACATCTCAGCGGACAAAAAATCACAGCACGCCACGTCGAGCCGCGATTTCAGCCACGCATGTCAGAATCCCAATCACTAGACCATTGGGATAAAAGGGCTTGTTAAGTAGCGGGTCAGTGCGCCCATAACCCCCCAGGACAACGAGCCTGTAACCCTTCCCTAGGATCAATCGGGGATCACCAGTGGACCTCTGACAACGCGGACTTTTAAGGACGATCCAGATCGTCCCCAACATCGCGGGAGGATATTGGGCTACCACGACGCCCACGTCGTGGCCACGCGTCACTCCACTGGTCTAACTCCTTCGCGCGGGAACTCGACTGCGCGCCCAAATTTGTCGGTGGCCGATCCACGCGGCGAAAATCTGTCCGTAAAAAGATGTATCAGTTGTCTATCATCGCGAGCTGCTCGCCATGTCGGTATCGACTACGGATCCAACGCCCTAAACCGAGCCACGCGGCACAATCGGGTAGTGCCTTAACACTGTCTAGGTTAAAGGAATCTAAAGACACACGGTGGGCTTGCCACGCAGCTCTTCAATAATCCCGGGCCCTTAGGCCATGGAAGTCGGCATGCCGGCTTTTCTGCAGAGAGGCACCAATGATGGGCCCACGCCACGTAACGCACGCACATTCCACCGTGGAATTGCCTAGGCTTACACCCCTTGAGTGCAGCGCGGCAACCCATTAGCCACGCATGGCTCGTGGCACGTCGGATACTGTGCCGCCGCACGAGAACACATTCATAGCGGCACAAGCATAAGGGGTTGCGTGAAGCGCGGCAGAATCGGAGTCGCTCACGACCATACCCCTCCGTGACCTTGCGCTGGTGCTCATTCCCTTGTCCATTCCTGCGTTCCTTCATGCTCTCTCTTGCACTTAGAATTTTCCGCTCCCTAGCTATCTTCACAAGTGTGGGTTACTCGTGCGCCGACCAATCGATCACGTCGGCACTGGTAGCGTCTACCTGGCATACAATACTCAGGTCGGTGTTTAGGTAACCGAACGGTCAGACGCGTCGACGTCGGATGTTTTAGGGCAGCATCTCGGCATAGTATCAACAGCTCTACCGACCAAGCAAGACGGGACGAAAGAAACTAACTAGCCGCAACCCATCCCACCCCCTGCCGACTCTGTAGACGCCGACATCAAAGCGCAGCTGGAACGCCTCGAGCTCGCCGCTGAGTTAGAAGCACTTGAGAGAGAATTCGAAGAAGACGCCCGAGCAACTCATCGGGCGTACACCGCACCCGTGACTCAGTACCGTCTCTAGTGGTACATCTTTTACCTCGAACACAGTCGACGGTAGAGCAAACTACGAGCGGCCACATGGCCGACGTCGACATGTCCGACGTTGGTCCCCCAACCGACCACAATCAGACCTCTAAACCCAAAGAGACGCTCAAGTTACTCTACGATCTTGACGCACTGACACAGATTCCAGAAAGGGAGGTCACCAAGGACATTCCCCCACCGCCGAAAGGGGAGTTTACGAAGCCAGCTAGTAAGTTGACCCCGACGCAAGATGGGCAGCCTGGACCTTTGTCGGTACCGGCCAGCTCAGGAATCCAGGTTGATGATGACGACGAGGAGGAGGAGAAGAGCGACGACGAATACGACGAGCGTCCTCCGCGTAGCACGAATCCGCGCACCTTGGAAGAACGCCTCCAGCGGGAACTTGAATACATAGATAACCTGCTCGAACAGGACAAGGATGAGGAGGAGCAGAACATGGCGGTGCCAGGCGAACAGTGGAGAGCGGCAGACTTTGTCGAAGACGACATGGTTTACGCCTGCATCGACGTGCTGGTCATAGACGCCCTACGCCACCTACAAACCTTGGAGAAGAATAGCACGCTGAGGCTGTACACCTCGTTCATCTACCACTACAAGAGGTGGGCGGCAAAGATGCTGAAGCAAATACGTGACAAGCTTCCCCAGGAGCACAGGCTTAGGCACGTCGACGAGATCGGCCGCTACATCCGGGACAACAAGAAGAAGAATTGGGACAAAGTGGCCGAGGTCGCCCAGGAGTACATCTGGCTTCACGGCCCTATGGTAACCGATACCCGGCTGCGTGCCTACGTGAAGTTCATGATACGTGAGTGTAAGCTCGATGCCGAGTCGATCGAGGAGGGGAACAATGCCTCGCGAACCCAGCCTGTGCAAGGTACAACGGTGCACACGCTCCTCGGGCGCATAAAGGCATGCCAGATGGCGGCGAGAGTGGAGGTGTCGCTCTACCAGGAGAAGGAGCTGAGCATCATGCGGGAGATCTCGGTGGTCAGATCGGAGGTGCGATTCATGGTCTGCACCAAGAACGAGAGGGACGTCAAGTAAGATTGTGGACACCGCCAACCTCTGTCTACGTCACTCTGAAGTCGACGCCGTCAAACTAAAAATACGCTGTGGCTTTGTGGGCAGGAATTGTGCCGACCGGCGTCGCGGCACCATCGGCGATACCTACACCGCCAAACAGTTCCGCCAGATCATGATGAAGGTGCTGCCGACATGGGCGGCGTCGGCGTGGAACCCGCGGGCAACCGCTCCTTCGCAGACGCTGTTGCGATTTTTGCTCACCAAGGCGCTCATGCTACTCTTCCACCACACTCTCCTGCGAGGCGCCAGCATCCGCGAGATCACGCTCCCCGACATCTTCTTGTACCGACTAGCTAGCACCTCGTCGGTGAACTTGGAGAACCAGCCGGTCGTCATGGTGATCGCCGCGCGGAACTCGAAGACTTCCAAGGATGCCCGTCTTCAGCAGAGCTACGCGGCGCGACACCTGGAAGCGGAGTTGTGCGCCGTCGGCGAGACCGGCCTGTGATTGCCCTTCATCCTCGACCAGATCGGTCAGTTCAATGGCGTCGACTTCCTTCCGCCGCTTGACACCACCGAATGCGAGCGCTGGTACAAGAAGCACCTCTTCTTCGCCCGCAACGACAAGGAGCAAAAAGATCTCTCCGCCGCCAGCCACCAACGTTGGGTACATTGAGCAAGAATGAATGCATTGAGCAAAAGTTGGGTACAAGTACTAACCCTAATTGGGTTGTACCCCTTATGGGCTACCCCACTATAGCCTACACAAAGTAAGCAATATAACATTCTGACACACCCCCATAGGCAAAATGGGGGAGAACAAGTGGTCGCAAGACCAGTCAAGAAAGCAAGCTCAGGGTGGATCACAAAATCACCAGACAGTCCAAGCACAAGCAAAGGGCCACAAGGCCAATTCACATGCAGTGTTATATAAAGAGAACAAACAGTACAGTGATCATAGTCTAGCAAGAGTAAGCATGCAGATATATATATAGATCACAGTACAAGCAAAGTCACGCAGTGAGCAAGTGAGGCAAAGTAGGCACAAGGCCTAACATAGTAGAGAAGCGCTGATGATCACCAGACTGAAGTGCCTTGGTGAATATATCAGCAGTGTTGGGCCTAGTGGCCACGTACGCAAGATAAAGCTGACCACGCTGCTGCAATTATCGAGCAAGGAAGTATCGCAGAGCGATGTGCTTCGTTCTGTGCTCCAGTCTGTGCTCCTGACACAAGGCAATCATGGCCTTGTTGTCTACGTACAGAACTGGAGGCGAACAAGGCTGCTCTCCCAAGTCAATCAGCAGGTAGGTGAGCCAGCGTAACTCCTCTGCAGCCATGGCCCCTGCGTAGATCTCAGCCTCACGACTGGAACTGAGAACCGAAGACGAGCGGGTAGACCGCCAAGAAACAGAGCCGGAACCAAGGCTGAAGGTGTAACCCTGTGACGACCTCTACGTAGCCAAGTCCTCAACCCAAGAAGCGTCAGCGTGACCACTGAGGACAACTGGACCTCGTCTTCCAAGCACGAGCCCCATGCCCGATGTACTGCACAAATAACGCAGTACCCTCTTCGCAGCATCCCAGTGCACCTTTCGGTGCCTACCCGGAGCCACGTAGCGAGCCAGGAGGCTGAGAGGGTACGCGAGGTCAGGTCGTGTGCACGTCATCAGGTACATGGGGCAACCCACAAGCTCTGGGTATGGACCACTCGGCTCTACGGACTCGTCCGAAGGTGGAGCTGAGAGCGAATGGCCGATAGGGAGAGGAGTGGGCTGTGGCGAGGAGAACTGGAAACCAAAGCGCTGAAGGACCTGGTTCACCATGTGTGACTGAGTCAGTGTGATGGTGCGCCGTGCTCTGTCCCAAGTGATCTGCAAGCCAAGATAGCTGCGCAGTTCACCCAGGTCAGTGTAGGTGTGTTTCTTCTGCAGCTCGGACTTCACAAGGGTCAGTGCCTCAGTGTCACCAGAGGCAAAGACCAGGTCGTCGACATACACGAGGACGTAGAATGGCGGCAGCAACGTGGCGGTGCGTAGAAACAGCGACGGGTCAGCAGTCGAAGGAGTAAACCCCAGAGCCGCAAGCGTCATCCTCAGTGTGTCGTGCCACTCACGAGGCGCCTGGTGGAGACCGTAGACTGGCCGCCGGAGGCTCCACTGGGTACCTACAGGAAACGACCTAGTGAAGCCAGATGGGCGGCGCAGCCAGATCTACTCGTGCAGGCTGCCCTGCAAGAAAGCTGTACTGAAGTCCAGAGAGTGCAGCTCGTAGTCACGCTGAGCAGCGACGTGTAGCAACACCCGAAGAGTGGTCATCTTCGGGGTGGGGGAGAAGGTCTGGAAGTAGTCGACCCCCTGTCGCTGACTGAAGCCTCTAGCAACGTAACGCGCATTGAAGGCAGGCGGAGAACCCGGCGGCCGCTTCACCCTAAAAATCCACATGCCATCGACTATATTACTTGAAAAACACGACAATATTACTTGAAAAACACCAACCTTTGATGATTTATTCCCCTTCCAGGACCGCTCTCGCTGCGTCAGAGGTTGCGCCTTGCACTGGGATCTGGAGAGGGGCTGGCATATCTGCATGGGTTTGAGACACCCATTGTTCACCGTGACATCAAGCTGGCCAACATCCTTGTGACTGCCGACATGCACGCCAAGGTGGCTGACTTTGGGCTGCTCAAGCGCGTCACTCATGGCGATGGTGATTCCACGCGAGTGGCCGGCACTCCAGGCTATGTGGACCCGGATTACAACCGCACCAACATCATCACAGCCAAGAGCGATGTCTTCAGGTCTGCGTGATTTCTCCTTGCGCAACGCAATGAGATCCTGCACGACGCAACGTGTCTCAGTTGTATTTTCCAATTTGTGTGAAGTTTTATCCCAATTGTCTGTCTTTGCCATTGCATGATCTCTTACAGCTTTGGCATTGTGCTACTTGAGTTGCTGACAGGAAAATCACCCAAAATCGTCACAAAATCACACATAAAGAAATGGGTATGCCTGACTCTTGTATGATAATTTATGTTCAGACCTTTATCCTGATTCATGCTGTATTTCTCCTTTCCTTGTTATCATGTCGTCATCGACTGCCTTTCATAATCGCCATGTTACCTCTTGAAGATTTGTTGCCTCTCCCATTCATCACCGCTCCTTGCATCGGCACTCATTCTCATCAGGCAATGAAGATGGTGGAGGCGTATGAGTTAGATCAGCTCAAGGGCAGCAAGCTGCCGGCTGTGAGCGAGGAGGCCATAGTGGACTTTGCAGACCTGGCTCTGGACTGCATCAAGTCTCTAGGCACACGGCGGCCCAGCATGAAGGACGTGGCATACCGCCTCAGTGCGCTCATTGAGAAGCACTGCCCTGACAAGGAGGAAGAGTGGGAGGGTACGGGAAAAGAAGCGAGTACAAGTACCGGAGAATTGTCATCAGAGAATGTTTCTTCTGTGTCATTTGGAGGTGGTGGGATGGATTCTCAGCAGTCTCAAGGTGGCTATTATGGTGTGAGCTCATTCATGGCCATTAACTCGATCACTAGTGGCATTGACTCAAGAGCTGGCTGCAGTTGAAGCCTAACTCAGGGCACTGATTTGGCTCATAATGAACACGCATTGGCTACGTCACATGGAACAACTAATACATATTTTGGCGTTTAAGCTGAATGGTTTAGCAGCATATGGGTATTGCATGTTTTGCTATTCGTTGTAGAAAGTCACTGACTCCGCTCTCATATCGGTTTCCACTGATGATGGTTGCTGGATGGATGTGTTCGGTGGTTGTGAGGATAACAGGCCTGAATAGAGGGTGTTTGTTCAACTACCATAATCCCCCGGATATAAAGCCCGCCAAATTAAAGCACCCATGGGTGGTTTATGCGGGGAGGGTTTTTTAATTCGGTATCTGAAATACAATACCTGCTTTTTTGCCTTACTAACAGAGCACCCCCCCCCCCCCCCCCCCCCCCGCCCCCACTCTACCCCCCCGCCTCCACTATACTCTCACAAGTAGAAGCAACGGAATTTTTGCATTAGGGTTGAGAAGCAATACAGGTAGCAACCCTAACTGAGTTGTACTCTCTAGGGAGTACCTCACTGCAGCCTATAACAATTATATGCATTTGACACACCCCATAGGCTAAATGATGGGTACCCAAAGACTAGCATACGAAACAACGGTCACAAGACCAGTCAAGAACAAGCAGCAACAACAAAGCTCAGGGTGGCGCTCCGAGTCAGAGCTGCCCTGTCTGCTGTAGCAAAGACTAAGTCGTCGACGTAGACAAGTATAAAGAAAGGAATGGAACCAGCACGAACGAACAGCGATGGGTCGGCAGAAGAGGGACGAAACCGAAGGTCACGAAGCGTGGAGCGAAGAGTGTCGTGCCACTCATGGGGCGACTGACGGGTAGATTGGTCGCCTCAGGCTCCACTGGGTCCCAGGTGGAAAGGTGTCTGTGAAGCCAGCAGGACGCCCTAGCCAGATCTCCTCGTGTAGGCGGCCCTGGAGAAACGCAGTGGAGAAGTCGAGGAAGTGCAACTCATAGTCTCGGTGTGCTGCTACGTGCAGTAACACCCGAAGAGTAGTCGTCTTCGGTGTCTGGGCGAAGGTCTGGAAGAATTCAACTCCCTCACGCTGACTGAAACCCCTAGCCACGTAGCCCGCCTTGAACACAGCGGTGATCTAGGCGGCCGCTTCACCTTGAAGAGCCACATGCCATCGACAACGTTCGCTCTGGGAGGGGGAACTGCGTTGACGTAGGTGCCTGTGGATCTCCAAGACGCTAAGTCTGAGTCCATAGCCGCTTTCCACTAAGAGGCCCACTCCCTTGACACTGCCTCACGGTACGTGCGAGGAGTAGGAATGTCAAGGGCGTCGGGGTCTCCCTCAGGGGAAAGCAGCATGGCACAGAGAGAGGGAGAAGCGGCTGCCAAGAACTCCAGCTCAAACTGCCTGTCCTCTAGGACGACTCAGCCAAGGGCAAACTCACCCCCGGCGGACAGAGGACGGGTAGGCGGAGCAGCCACTACACGCGTGTCGAAGTCAAGGCGGCGGGTAGAAGCAAAGTCAGCGACAGCGGCAGTAAGAGCTAAGACAGATGACGGAGAGGCACGAGGGTCGGTGACAAGAGAGGCGAGAACACGTGAGACAACAGGGCGAGCAGCATGGTAGTAGTCAGTGATAGGGTGAGAGGAGACAGTGAGAGATGACGCAGGATGTGGCGGGAGAACAGACACAGGTGGATCACGATGAGGACTAGAACGAAACAAGACGGTGCAGAGGTCGTCAAAAGGAGACAAGGGGCGAGCACGCGGAGGACAACGAGTGGTCCACTCGTGCGGGAGAATAGGAGGAATCGACTGTGACTGAGGAGGAGAGAAAACAGCCAGAGCCGAGTCCGGGGGAGGAAACGTATGGCCGTAGGCGGTAGGAGACTGTGAGTGGTCAGGAGGAGCGGAGGGAAGACCAAGGGCCCGAAGGCCACTCACTGGTGGGAACA